TCACGTTTCTCACGCTCAATGCGTTCCTTTTCCTCACGCTCTACAAAGTTGCAAACATAAATAGATGTATAAAAAAAAAATCCAAGCATTTGACAGGATGCATTTAACTAACCATAGAACCTGTTTTCTGGAGGTATCCTAACTCAAAAGCAATAGGAAAAGGAACCCTGATACATCCACTAATGTGACATCTTGAAAAACAGCTATCAAGAAAGGAATGATAAGGTTCCAATACCCATACATGAATTTGATGTACAGACCAGAAATGTGCCAGCCACAGTATCAGGAACTATCTCAAGTATGGCAGAGGATCCCCTTTTTAGAAAAGGTCAAACAAAAAAATCAGCTACAGTGTCAGAAATTTGATATTCAGGACTGCTTGGTTTCTGTTTGGTTGTTATTTTAAATATTGCGTGATTATGAACTCTGGTACGTAAAATCTTCATCCACCAAGTGACAAGACACAAATCTACTTTACAGGATGCCTACCATCTCTCCTCTTCTAAAGCCTTGTAACGGGCTACCAGACAAAGCAATCCACTTGGTCTAAGAGTCACATAGAGTTCCTGAGCTCTTGACCTGACACCAGTGTTCCCTTTCTGTTCTCTTTAAGATGTCCACAAACAAGTGGACAGAATTAAAACTAAACAAAATATTGAGTCTTTGATTTTATTCATCAGCCTCTCTGACTTTATGTCCTCCTTTATTCATCTGTGGGAGAGGGGGAGGCAGGAAGCATTCATTTGCTTTCATTTTCCCTCCCTCCTATAAAGTTTTACCTTTATCTCTGCTGCACAGGTAGGCATTCAGAAGGTGCACTAGGTAAAATGTAAAGGTACATCGTCTAATAACAATAAACACAGTCTTCACCACTGACTGAAAGTGAAAAGACTTCCTCCAATATTGTGAAACAGGGAAACCAGAAGTTAGCTGTGTACACATCTGGAATGGGTCAAGGCTGCAAATGATAAAATAAGTACATTCTCGATTATACCTTTAAGCAGCTGTTCTTCTCGTAATCTTTGTTCTTCTTCCTCCTTTTCTCTGTAATAAGTAATGCGCCTCTCTTCTTTCCGCTGTTTCTTGCGTTCCTCCAAACGATTACGCCTCTCTTCTGCTAACCGTTCCTGGAACTGCTTGAGTTTATCCTGAAGTACAAAGAAAACACAAGAAAACACAGGAGCTGTAATGTTTAAGAGGTAGACAGTTACACAAATTGCTACATAAAGCTGAAGAGAAACACAAACTAACTGCAACATATTAAGTTCGCTACACTGAAAAACAACTGCCTGTTTGCCATTTCAACCTTTTTTGCAATAAACTTTGCACAAGGGAATATAATCCTACTTCAGAAGAAAGACAATCAGCATTGTGCACAATTTTAGTCCTTCATCTACTTTTTCAGGAAAGTAATTACCTGAATACTAATTTACCCGTACCTAAAATAATTACCTAAAGTTACTTATATTGTTCCAAAGAATCATATGGAGTTACTTATTTTAACACAATACCTCTTTTGCTTACTTTTTCTTACTGCAACATAGACAAATAATCAAAGCTATAAACAACCTCAGCAAATGCAGAACTTTAAAAATGTAGAGCAAGAACCCTGCCCTTGTGGTCTAATTTGTTATTAAATTTTGCAAACATAAAACATAACTTTAAGTTCCAAATACTGGGACTATCAAAATAATTTCCAGATTCAAACAAAAAGATTAAAAAAATAGACAAGTACTTCTATCTATTTTTCAGCTTCAATATTATTGTCAGTGTTATTCCATCATTTCATGAAGAATCACTGGGTCACAAGTTTAGTTCGTCACTTTAGTGCAATATTTTATTACAATACCATATCTTAATGTACCTCATAAACTGTTCGTCGTGATGCTTTGAGCCTGGCTTCAAATAGATCTCTATCCTCCAACATCCTTGAGAGCCTGTTCTTATGCTCAAGGGCTTTCTCACGCTCCAACTGCAAAGTGGTGATCTGAAAATAGATAATACAAGAAGTATCAAAAAGTAAAATCTTACTATATATTTGCATTCAATCTACCTCAGCCACTAGAAAGAGAAATTATCTTTTCTTTTTTCAGATCCTAGACAGAAGATGCTGCTGTCCACCAGCACAATGAAATTGCAAAACTAACACTTAATTCTTCAAGGCAACTTCTTCCCTTCTTCTCTTGGATTGAGCTGAGGAAAAAAGACTGTGCAAAACCCAGTATTTTTCATTCCTTGCTAATGGATCATCTGAACAAAAAAATTCTTACCCTTTCTTCTTCCTGTTGCTCCCACAACTCCATATCATGCACTCTTTGCTCCTCATATGCAGTCTTTATTAAAGGAATTTCCTCTAAGCGCTTCGCTCTTTCAAAATAGTCAATCTAAATAAAGATAACATACCTTTAGCATGTCACAATGCAAAGACCAAATCTGGAAGACTCAATCTTCAGCATCCCTCCAAAGAAAACCCCCCACATCTGAAGACTTCTCCAATATATCTGATATATTATTGTTACAGAAGAATAACCACATTGGACCACATCAAAGGTCCACCTAACCAAGAACCTGCCTCTATCACTAGCAACTAAGTCCACTCCTAGGTACGGATGGAAGAATAGAGGCAGGAATATACAATACTCTCTCTGCATCATCAACTTTCAGCTCCCAGTATTCCCTGTGTTGAAGTTTTTTTTGTATTTAGTAGGCATTGGTGGATTTCTCCTCTTGTTCTTTTGAACTCAAAGAAGCTTTTCACATACAACATACTTTGGAAAGAACTCCTGTGTGCCTATGTTTTACAGTATGAAGACCCACCTCCCACCTTCTGCATATGGCTCCTACTAGCTTCTTTTGATGCTTCCTAGTTCACTATCTTGCAGTCAGTGCAAGAACAACCGCTCCCCATCATCAGCTATTTCAAGTTTCACCTTGCCCAGGTTCTATACTTCTATTTACTATGACAACATGTTCCTCACACTTTTATAGTTACCTATGTTTCAGGCAGATCCTATTCTGCTATCTAGAAAGGGCTCTAGCAGTGGAATTTCCTCTGTTCCAGTGAGAATTAATACAACTAACTAAATTTAGCTTCTCTGTAATGGCCTCACTTTCTGTGAGCATTTAATCTTCTCTGAACGTGTTCCAATTACAAGTCTTTACAAGTAAGACTCAGTTCACATACAGCTGAAGGGTCCATCTTCAAATTAACTCCATTAATTATAGAACAGATTTGTGCACCGATACTAGAAACTCAGTTGCTTTTTAACCCATTTACCTTTTTTTAGTTTCATACAGTAACATTTTCAACACCAATATTATATATGTGTGTGCATATATATATATATATATATATACGAATACAGGAGTTCACAATCAGTAACTAAAGCATTGTATAGACACGGTTTTGTACCCTTCCTACTTTGTACCTTTTTCTCCTGATTCTTCAGGCGTTCCTGAAGTTCCTTCTTTTCTTTTTCAAGCTGTTCAACTTGTTTAGCCATAATGAAGTCAGGATCCAATTCTTCAAGATCCTACAATCAAGTAAAGTTATCAATATAAAATAAAGCAAATGTTTTTTCTGCTACAAATGTGGTTTATTTATTTACGTTTATCTGCAGTTTCCCTCTTAACTTTTAAACTAATTGCTTCAGAAACATTCTAAGTTTCTTTTCCTCTCTTCTGGGTAACTTGTATTTTATTTTTAAAAAACTCTCTAAAGCACTTGTATCTTGATTTTCAATTGAGATACAGTCCAGGTACTACAAAATTGCACCTGCAGGTCTATTTTATATTTCATATACCGTTCAAGCAACAAGGAGGGGGTGGAAAAAATGCCAAACAGCTAGACTTGAATTCCTCCAGTAAAAAAGGTCCTATCCAAACTCAGAATTAAGGTTTACTTACACTGTTGAGCAAATTTAAACGCCAAACTGTCTCATTTTTAAGAAAGGTTGTTTATAAGACCAGTTACAGTGTAAAACTAGGAAAGAACGTGAAATTTAGTCAGCCTAGCAAAGCAATATAAAAGCATTAAAAAACCCTCAAAGCTTCAATAATAAATTGCCTACCTCAATATCAATATCTTTAAATGCTTTGGCTCCCAGTTCAGTCTTCTTAATCTGCTCCAAGCGCTCACGAACAGTCTTCTTTTTGATTTGTTCATGCTCTTGCAGGATACGCTCCTTCTCTCTTTCCTTTGCCTCCTGGCGCAGTCTCTCTTCTTCAGCTTTCCGGACTTTTTGTAATTCTGCTTCACGTTGTTCCAGTTCTTCTTTTTCACGCTGAATGTTCAAACTTTCAAGGCGTTCTTTTCTTTCCTCTATAGTTTGACGACGTGCAAGAATACGCTGATGCTCCTTCCTTGAATTTTTCAGGAAGGCCGTGACTGCCAGCTGATGTTGTTCTTCCTTTTCTTGCTGAATTTGAATTAAGATAAGACAATGTAAGTAGCATCTCTTTAAAAATGCAGAAAGCATAGCAAATGCTTCTCAAAGAAAACTTATGTTAGTTTTACTCTCCAAACTTGCCAACTGCATGAAAATACAACTGTAAAGGTAAATCTAATCACTCATCTAAGTGGTATACAAGGTAGTATCAACTGAGTAGACTCATGTGCAAATGGAGAAAGTTGTCTGTAAAAACACAAGTATTCTGCAATACATCTTAAGTATGACAGTTTCACACTTTCCTCTGTCCAAAAATATTACACACCCACATTAGTGATATCTAAGACTCTAACTGAAAATGGGGTAGGGAGGGTCAATCTTGTTTGTCTCTGCATGTGTTAGCAAGTGTAGCACCACATGCACTAAATTTCACCAAAGCTCCCTTTGTCTTTAAAGGTGTTTTTTTTTCCAAACACACTAACATAAGAGAAAAATATCCTAACTGACACAAAGCACTATCTGTGAGATGATAAAAAAAATGATGATTGTCTCTCAACAATTTAGGTATATAAACAATATATAAAACCACTTTAATTAGGTAATAAAAAGCACAAGACTTCTAGACACCAGCTATTCTCTAATATTCTTTAAGCATCCTTCCAACCACCCCACCATTCTCCTCCAGAGTGCCTATCCAGGTTTTTGTAGAGATTCATGCTGCACACATGAAAGGTGTTATTGCACCAGCTCAGTGAGCTGCCCATTTTAATCAGTCCAGCAAGCAGCAAAACACTGCAGCCCAATCAGTTCACTACACTCCCTGAGTCATGCTGCTCTTGAAATGTGAGCTAGCTCAGAGGTATTTTTAGTAATCTGTCACTTCTACGGCATTCAACAAAAACACTGAAACATCCATACTTTGTTGCAGATCTGGAAGTGTTTAAAGATAAAATGGAGGTGCCAGCAACACAAAAATGAAAAGCTCAAGATGAATTTAACGATTTTATGAATTATAACAAATTTGACAGAAATTACAACTTTTTAAGCACCTGAAAAAAGTGAAAAGGTTTGATCTGAATACTGAAGGAAAAAAGGGTATCAACTTGTTCTATAGCTTCTCTAACCACACAGATCGATATTAACCCCGACACTGTACCCTAATTTTACAAGTAAATTACTAGCTTCTATGTCTTATTCAGCTAATTGTACAAAGATATCAGGTATAAGACTATTTGTCATTTCTTCTATGACTGTACAGATAAAGTATGTTTTTTCTTTCAAATAGCAATCCATCCGTCTGGTACCAATCACTAATAAAACTTTTAGGGGAAAACCTACAAGGAAATATTTTTATCTTAAACACTATAAAACAGCTAATGTACATTCAAGCTAACATAAGTAAGCTAGCAGTAGGTGTCATGATGCAGTCTTCCTTTGTGTGTTTATATTTTAAGAATATTACTTAGTATTTCAACCCCTATAAAGAATCTAACATGGACATCTTGCTATCAGCCTTTTTTCCATATGGAAAAAATTATCTGAGATGTCTGCTATGAAATCTTTCATAAACATAAAGCAAAAGCAAAAATTAACACTGCTCTTTTAAGAGAAGTGAAGGTTTAACTTGCCACAACTAAGGCATGCTGGAAATTCAGGAGTGATTGACACCTTACTCATACAGGGCTCTGGAGAACCTGAAATGTGAGCTCATCAGTGAGTCCAACGTTGAAGCCAACAGCCCCAGCAAGGAGGACAGGGAGTGACAAGGACAGGTCAGTTCTTGAGTTGTGGGATCTTTTGTTCGCGTTTTTAGATTCCACTATGAAGTTACATTCCAGGTTCTTCACAGCAGCAGTTTCTCCAGGAAGAATAAAGAAAGCAGGCTCTTCGATTTTCAAAAACGCATGCAAAATTTTAAACAAATCCTAGGTCTGCAGGCCCATCTATGCGTAAGTTATTAGTTGATATATCCTAAATCTGAGATATGCAAGACTAGCAGTTTATACTCAGACATCTTGTGTACATTTTGACATGATTTTAGTTATGACCAAATATTAACTAGTTGAGTGATTTAAGAATGATTTCTTATTTTTCACAAGCACGAACAGATAACTACCATCAGCATGAAAAAAAAAAAAACTAAATGAAAAGGTACACCTAATCTGAGAAAACACATTTATTCAAATATAAGCTTTGGTATAAAGTGTCAAGTTATTAGCTTACTTTTCTACTTAATCCACAAATATGTAAACGCAGCCCATCACTACTGTCAAATTATATCAAAGATCATTACCACAATGCTTTGAAAAACAGAGCAACACACTTCTGAAAATAGACAAATCTACAAAAGCACCAATCACTACCTACTCAAATCATTGCAAAGTTAAATTAACCGTTAGATAGCTCAATGCCTTTACTATGTCAAGGAAAGGTAAACCAAGTAACTCCTTGGAATATATGATCTCACAATTTCAAAAAAAGCTTGTCTTGCTAAACCAGAAAATTTAGATCTATTAGAACAGGTGAGCATTTAACCGACGTAGAAGAATACTTTGACATTAATAAATACATTAATGCTACACTACATTTGTATATATTAACATCTCAAGGATCAATTATTTGTTCAGAAGGGAGGGGACAGCAGTAATGATACTGATTACCACTGCACTGAAAACAGATTACTGGAAGGAGTAGTTGATCAGGCAAGCAAAAACTAACAAAAAGCTTCATAAAGGCAACAGATAAACACCACAAAACACACTTCAGGGAACATCAGAATCTGTTAACATTTTCAGAAGATTTAAAATGACTTACCAGTAAATGAGGAGGCTTAATGATTGCAAGAGCCTTAGCCAGAGCTGAGGACATAGCAGTCAATTGATTTCTAATTTGCTCAGAAGGCATACTTTGCAGTTGAGGGCCTAGGGGAGCATCTTCCCTCGTACTGTAATTCAAATCTGAGCCAAAACTCAGGGTCCGGGTAGTATGATCAAGGCGAACCTTTGAAAAAAAAAAAAAATTATTTATTAAACAACTTCTCTGTTGCTCAGCCTATGAACAATATTTCTAAGCAGAAACTACACTAAAAAAAATTCAGCTGTACCAGACCATGAGTAAAGCCAAATTAGTAAAAGAAAAGTAGCACTGTGCATAGAAGTTTGTTTAATTTACATGGTTTATTAAAAAAAAAAAAATCATCAATGGCTCTCAATAATTCTACGAAACAAACACTGCAAGATAAATCATTCTTGACTTTTCCTTCATGTTAGCAGTACACAAAACAACAATTCTAACTTTAATGCAGACAATTTCAACGTATCTAAAATATAAGCTCAAGTTGTGTGTTAACCTAAATGAATTAACTCTGCTTTCTCTAAAAACCTAAATGGATAATTACTAAGCAACCTCAACTGAAAGCTACTTGTATCTTTTGAACAGCTTACACATTTCATTACAGGCTGTCATTCATTCTATACAGACAACTTTACCAACAACGCAATCTTCAACAGCAGCTGAAACATCTCAGACATCAGTGCACATCTCAGACATTGGTGTTCAATTTCAATCACTTGGTTAAACAAAAATCAACATCAGTGACTGCTAGCTCTTCAGTCTTGCACAACTAATTCAGCATATTCAGAAATTTGCATCCCTGTTTGTTAGACCTGCTTCAGGATATTCTGGACTAAATGACTGGAGCTCACAGGGTAAGTTTCAGCAATTTTTATCTTAACTTTTACTTCTACTGGATTTACATTAATGGTTCTTGACCTAAATCAAAAATGCACACCAGGGTGCAAATAACTGTCAGTTCTTAATATATTGTCACATGCATCATTTACTCGAGTTTATTTCCATCTATCAGAATCCATTGTCTTCCTTTGGTTCAACATCAACCAGTCAGTTTTCCTCCAATGTAATACACATGAATCCATGCATCATTTCACAGAAGTCTTTTTACAGCACTCACTTGTAAGTCACAATGTCTGGCTGCATCAACGATACAACGTTCCAGCTGGAAAGCATCCACAAAAGGAACCAGGCTAGCCAGACGAGCAAATTCAATGCTTTGATAAATCTGGGCCACCTGTATGTGAACAAAAACATTAGGTATATTTCCTCATTAAACAGAGATAAGAAATTAAAGTTGTTGTACAGACTCTAAACCTACTTAATAAATTGTCAGTAAATTAATGTTTCCATATTAATACAATTACAGACAATCTTTCACAATTTTACTTCTGTACTGTATTCAAACTTAAGATTAAATGCCATTCCTTAATGGGTTCTTTGTATGAAGGAGACTGGCAGCAGTAACTACACACAGCTATGCTGCTAATTAGCCTTCAACTATTTCTGTAGCACATCAGAAATAACACTGCTCGTCACTTGTTAACAAAAGCAGGTCAATGAAATGTGCATTTTATAAAACACCTACAAAAAACCAAACAAAACAAAAAAAATCCCACACATACCCCAGCCCAAAAAAAGGTTTTAAGAAACAATGAATTACCTTAAACAAGACATTATAGATCCGTAATGAAGAAAATCTAGGCAAGATATTAGGCCACTGTATGCACCCATTAAGTATAGCTACTATGGCTCTACCTAAATCACGTACAAAAAAGTATTTCAAAATCGTAACGGTCTTCTACTCGATGGAAGAAATTTATTTCAGCACGGAAGTTTCCAACTTAATGCTCTTCCAAAGCATTTTCTAACCTATGCATACTCATGAACATACATTTTCTTTACTCATACCTGCTGCAGAAGGCGAAGAATGGTATTGTTTTGCAGGTGAGGAACATACAGCTGCAGTTCAGGTTCTTTTTCAGCTTGGTCTTTCACCCAGTTCAGAACCTATCAAAATTCTGAAAAGTTACTCTATCTGCATCAACCCTTAAAAACTTCAACATTAAAGTACAAAGCACAGTTCTTAAATACTTCTGGTTTACAGCTCATGAAACAACAGCACTTCTGTCCAGAAGTACTGAAGTGTATCTTTTGATCAGAGCACTCATTTATAACGGAGAGCTAACATTTTTTGTATGAAGGCGACTGACAGTACTGGCAACATTTACCATACTGCTAATTTACCTTCAAGTTCTTTTTAGCACCTCAAGTTCCTTTGTTCTCACTATCAAAGAAAAAGAACATGATGTGCTTCATCAATTGCAGAATTTACATTAACCTAATCAACAGCTCTCACGTTATTTTGCCACCCAATACCCTACATTTTAATAGTGAAAACAGTTATTGGTATATTTTTCCACTTCCCACACAACCCACTTGCATACATACGCACATGTGTACACACAGTTTTCTCATTTCTGCATCTTTAAACAAAGTTCAACTCAGGATTACCTCCATCAACAAGACCTTCTGGTACATTACCAAAACTCTGTAACTTTGTAGGGGCCCTCTGAATAGCGCCCTAGAGACTCAAATTAATTTTCATTCTATTTCAATAATGTGGTGTACTGTGTATATCAGATGTTAGGTACATGTCACTGTAATGGAATTTGACCAAATAAATACTACCATTGAAAATTCTGGCAACAGAAAAAGATAGCTGGTATTTACCACAAATCGATATTCAAATAACAGACTATTAGTCATGACCAACTATATACACAGAGCTACAAAACTTACCTTGCTGACACGGCTACATAACTTGAGCGGGTGAAAGTCCACTTCAAGCCAATTGTAAAGTTCTTTTACCTCTGGAACAACATATTGCACTACGTTGAACCTTACCTACAGTCAACAAAAAAATCCAAAGATCTCAAAATAAATACAATATTAACACATAGTTAGACTTTCAGAATTTTATATTCAAGAAGTTAAATAGGCACCACATGTGCCTTTTAAAACAGGAAACTACCATTACAGCATTCTTAATTGCAGTGACAGTAACTCTACGCTACACCACTTAACACTATTTAAAAATGGAAAAATAGACAAAAACATATAAATAAAATAAATATTTAGACTAGAGTACCATCTTGAACTTATCAGCCATTTCTAAGACCCAAGTCCTACCACACAGATGGAGGTTCACATCCAAACTAAAATCACACACATCAGTTCATGATTAAACTTCTGAAGCCTTAAACTGTGGTTTAAGGCAAACTGGAGAGGTACCAGATGAAGAATTAAATTGTAAAATGAGCACTGAATGTAAGTTTTAGACATGCATGTAAACGACTGCAAGAAATTCAAACATCCTCTGAAAATACCTAACTGTGACTGAATGCCTAATTTGTTTATGGGAAGGTCTAAAGATAGATAAATCTATCTTTTGTTGAATTTAAACACAAGGAAGTTTTCATAGTCACTTTAGGTCCTTACGGTCCACTATTTGATATCTGACCTGTGCTTATCCAAAATACATTTAAAACCAAAAAATAACCACTTGCTTCAGTTAATTACACACCTTAGAGTAGGGAAAAAACCCCAAAGCTCTAGCTTACAACCCTTTTTAGACCCCTTAGTTTCAAAACAACAATTGTAGCTTGGGTGACATAAAGGACAATATTGAATCTGACTCTTTATTGCACACAAGCACTCAAGCCTCCCATTACTGCTGCCATTTCTGAACAGTCCTTCTTGTGAATCTGAAATTTTAACACTGTACCGTAAGTCGTACAATGAACCATTTAGCCGTTTTAACTTTAAACTGCTGTCCCATAACTAAGCACAGTGCTCTGGAAGGAAAACAGTCCAAAAAGTGGACTCAATTTTTAAAAGCTGTTCATCTGAACACCACTACCTACCATATCATTAATGAGGCTGTTACGCGTAGGTGGGGCCTGCAGACCCAACAGGGTTGCCAGACGTCGCTGTTTCTCAACAATGATACCATCCATATCCAGAAGGCGAGCAATATCAGTTCTCTCAGGAGTTATAGGAATTGACAGAGTGGCCAACAAGACTCGAGTAGACATCCTGTTGACAAAGTATAATCACAAAAGATGAACTGCAAGAGAACATTTATTAACTCCTTTTCCGGTATGTGCCAATTCAAGAGTTGGAATGAGTAGCATTCATGATTCAAAACTGTGTAAAAATACAAGCAATAACAGAAAAGACGCCAGCAACACAATAAGGGTACAGAATGGAGTGTTCTTCAGTAACCAGAGAAAGATTTCTATAACATCTTTTCATCACTTACATGTGCATATATATACATATGTATATATACATGGAAATTATAAAGAAATTTAAGCTGCCTCTATGAATATCAAAATACTATAAAATAATGAAAACATCAGAAAGCAGCACCGTTAAAAACTTATTTTAGCTGCAAATCCATATCAGTCATTTGGTTTGCATTGATCTTTAACATTTACTGTGCAAGCCAGATGTAACTTTTGATGCAATAATACAAATGACATTAAATATTTAAATTCTGAACTTAGTACCAAGATTAAAGGGAATATAAGAATTTCCATAGAGTATTTATTCCCATCAAGTTCTGATTCTATGAAGGCCTGTACATGAGCTTCAGAAATTAATGCAGTCAATCATTCTGCATCCGTCAAAAGCCTTGCCAGTATCATATTTGGTACAGAAAAATTAAAGGCCATTAGGCTATACAGACTTTTATATATTAAGCAAAAGTTTATACTAGTTATAAAGAAATCTTGTCAAGTAAACACCACCACGCAGAAGAGAAAAAGGAAACAAAACACAGATACTTATTAACTTGTTTAGCTTCCCAGTCAGTAACAGAGAAGGAAGCTTAACTAAGGTGATCCCAATGTTTACACTATTTACACTGTAGCTCTGTAAGATAACCTTCTTGCTTTAGGCTGCTTTTGAAGAAATTAGTACTGGCCACTTTAAGAAGAGCTGCTCATCTGCTTCTTTTGGGGCACAATTTAGTTTATTTTTGAACCTCAGGGGTTAAAAATAGAATTTAAGATCATATTAAATAGCTTTCCCCACCTCTGCATCTCCTCTTGTGTGAGATTCTTCCGCATTTCTCTTGATAAGTGATAAAGTCGGTGAAGTGTGGATGCATGAAAAAGAGCATTTCCTGATTTCCAGAAGACAGTTGAAACTTTGTGATAGTAATTTGCCATCAGTTGTGGTTTGGGTGGTTTCTTAGACAGTGCAAAGAGCCCATGAATATCCTCCACTGCTTTGAAAGCTTCCTAAAAAAAAACCCAAATACACTACTTTCAGGATGGTTTTTGCAACATGCAAAAAAGGATAAAAACGTACATTCACTAAAGGTTACAAAACTATATTTAGAATCACTGAAATCTTCAGTTTCGCCAGCTACATGAAATGAAATAATTCTTTCCTAATAAATAAATTATTTAGGCATACTGCAAATCCATTAACTATCTGCTTAGAATTTGGTAGTTAACAATAAGTTCACGTAATTTTTCACAAACTGCTTTGTTCCAGATTTTCAAGCTAAAGGGAAAAAAAAAGTCACCTACAGAATAAGAAAAAATCTGCTACTTTACTATTCTACCAATTCTACTATTTACTGGTTTTGCCGTTTTTAAAAAAAAATTTTGAAAACATTCTCCAAATTCACAAAAGCAAAAAACTACAACCTTGGCTTTTTAATGAATTTGACATTAGAAAGGTTGCAAAAGCAAACCACCTCTGTGAAAAGTTTGCTTCGACAGTGCCCTCACTGGCTAGACACTAATAGAATTCAACCAGCAATGCTGGGGCCCCAGCCTAATAGCAGGCTTTAACATTTACCAACCACTTCCCAGAGATCTAGTTCATGAGAATGAGAGATAGCAGAGGTGAAGGTGTCATCATCAACTTCCAATTTTCACAACTCAAAACTACTTCAGTCACTTTACCACTAACTGCTACCAGCAGAAGTTTGGTTTGAAATTCTGTGCGAATACAGCAATCCCAGAAACATCAGACTAAGTATTAAATAAGCATGTAGTACCACATTCTAGACATTAAAACTTTAGCTATTAATCTGTCTTTACCTTGGAGTATATACCATGAAACATGACCTGCGTGGAACAGATTCTGGAAAGGCTGTAGACTACAGCGTGATTACAGGTGCCCTGCTGCATACCTGCCACAGCTCCATGCTAATAGCACTGTCAAGCTGCACAAGCCTGGTCTCCAAGTGCATGGACTGACTGTCAGGATTGTTGAGGTTGATTGCTGTGCTTTGGTTATGATGACGCTGGATCTGCCCCAAATGCATTCGCAGGTTATCACACAGTTTACGGAACTCAGCTTTACGTGTGTACTGCAGGCAGAACTTAAAAGCTGCAAAAAAAATGAACAATATAAATTAAGAATGCTCACTAATCGTGACTTCATGGTAGTTCTAAAAGGGATTCAAATATGTAAATCAGCACATTTAAAGAATTTTCACTTAGAGTCCAAAGACATACCAAACAAGATGCAATCTGTCACACATAAAAAATAAATGACAATGCAGAGCACTTCCATCTTCATCTCAAATAATGAAGATGCTTCTACACAATTAATCTTAAGCAGCAAATGGAATACTTTGAGTCTCTTTAAAAATGTTCTAATTTAAGCAGTGATTCTAGCTTTTATTTTGAACTAAGTGCAAATAAAATTCTGTGGTGTTAATTCAGGTTTTGGCTGTATAAAATGTGGGGAAAAATTCTCAAGTTATCTGAATATGGTAAAGTTAAATGAAGCTTTCAAATAACTGGAAATGACATAGGAAAAAAATTGTCTTTGATCCCATAGTTCCTCTCAAAAATCTGTTTTTGCTTTACCACTGTCACTCTGAAAATTCTACAGTATCTCCATCAGAAACAGGCACAAAAGGAAATCTCAACAGTGTAGCACAAAGACTTAAATACACTGAAGCACCTAGAACTCATCTGACAGTCATCTCTCCTAGTGTACTTCCGCAATTTGGATCCAGAGTTTAAAATCTAACAGGCACTTTTTTCAAAAATACAGAGCCCTGAGTTATACATACAAAGGAAAACATTCTTCTGCTCATCTCTCACCCTTAAGAAAAGATGAACATGTAAGTATTACTCTTCTAAAGTCAGTTTTTGCAGAATAAGGCCAGAAAGAACCAGACCAGACTTCTTCCTATTACCTTCTGCATATTTTGCTAAGTTATGTCTATGTCAAAATTGATAATGCATCATAATTTTACAGTACCTTTTAGTGTACACTAGTTTTTAAAGTTTTTTAGCTGACATAGAACACATTCATGGAAGACACATTGGCTATTCTGGATAACAAAGCGAAAACAGAACTAATTTTGATTAGTAAGTTAGAAAAAATAAAGACACAGCACCAGTAATTCTCATATGGCCAGGAAAAAATAACTTTTTCCTTGCAGGTTCTGTTACAAGAAGAGACTGGTGTCCAGAAACCTCAGTAATTTTAAGGAACCTCAGTAATTTTAAGAATTGTATGTGTGTACATACCTGTGATTAAGAGATTAATGTATTTCCAACTCTGAAGCGATATCCAAACAGAAGTAACCTTTAACTTTCTAGTTTTATAGAATGTAATGTAGAAGTCCTAGATCTCATTATACTTTAAGTGTCCATCATTTCAACTTACCTTGCTGTGCAATATCATGGTACAGGCGTTCCACTCGAGAATTATTTCGGAGAAGATCCAAACATTGTCTATATGATTCCCATAGAAATTTAACCCAGGGTGTCAAAAGCAGTCGGTCAGTACGATCCTGAGTGTCTTCTCCACTTACAGCGCTCAAAAGAACACTACAGTCGGGGCAGGAGGGTAAGGGATTAAAAAAATGTGTTTCATTCCCTGCAATTCTCACCAATTTTTCTTATCAAGATCTAAGAGGAGACTGAACAAATATGAACAGTTAATTGCTGATGAACAGCCTATCGCTTATTTTCAAATTGGTCCCTCAACTTCTCCTTCGCTCTTTAAAGGATGTAGGTAACTTTTATTGCTGTTAAGTTTCAAACTTTGGAACCTGCATCTATGACAGACGTGTACAAGGTTCAGAGGTAAGAGACATCAGAACCTTTGCTGTCCATTACATGAGTAACCCATGGAAACTAAATCCATGATTTTCACCTTCCCTTTTCAACCAGGGAGCTGTGCACTGCACCTCTGCTAGATTCAAATATCACTGTCTACACTCAGATACTTTCCTACTTGCTGAAACTTCCTTTTTAGTCACCAGCAATGCTGCCAGAGAGCTCACTTCTTGTTGACATATGACACAGAAGCAATGCGTGTCTTCCAACCTGCAGGCATCGAAAACCAGAATACTGACATTAAAGTATCACATCTTTTAAAAATTCTGACATGAAAAAGATGCTTCAAGATGTCAGAAGTAAGATAAAATGATCTTGCATTTAGTGGCCATAACTGCATGCCCTCATTCACAGAGATACAAGATTGGAAAGGATTTCTGAGACACTTGGACAAATTCAGTGCTATGGCCCACATAATCTATTTCTGGTAAACAGTCTGCCCAGCACGACAAACATACAAAGAACCATCTTCCTGAAGCCTTAATTTTTAAAATCCTTTTTGAACTATTCCTCTAATATACTCTCAACTCTTGTAACTCTCTTCTACTATGCTGCTTCCAGTTCTAATTCACTTTCTTGAGTGCTAGTACTACACATAATATTAAAGATTACATTGCACCAATGGCTTCTCCAACACATCAAGCAGTGAATCCAGCAAAAAAGTATGAGAAGCCTAGACAACAGGACCTAAAAAACACTAAAGAAACTGTGATTGTTGAGATAAAGAAGTGTGACCGAAAAGACACATTTTCTAGTCCTCAGTTATATAAAAGAGAGCAAGAAAAAGAGCAGTCGGTCAATCCTCAATGTCAAACTATTAGTGGGATTCCCATGTAACAGAGACTATTTCAGGTGCTGGAAACAACATGAATGGTATCACCAGCCTGGAACAGCTACTTAAGACACATCTGTAACCTTTTAATTTTTTGCAACCAATGAGTTCCCAAACTCCACCAGAGAGCCTTGCTGTTAACATGTGGATCTATAGCTTTCTACTCCCTGTCTTTACGTTTTATTTGACTACTAAAACTCTATTCATCTTGGTTGCCTACACAAGACAAAATGTCCTCTACTTAGATAATTTTATCCAAATTTCTATCACGAATAGATATAGCTTTGACTTTTTTATAGTTTCTGTGTCAAGTTTTTAATTGAAAGAATTCCCACTAACTTCGCTCTTGCTTCACATCTCCTTTCATCATTACATGCCGTCAGTTTCTCACTGGACAATGTCATAGTCCCCTTCCAATTCAACTGCAAACACCCCTCCTGGTATGGTATAAACAGCTTTACTTTTACCCAGGCTAGATCCCTGGCATTTCTTGGATCTAAAAAATTAAATTGCCAACTAAAATCATAACATAATGAGATGTAATCTACACTTCGTCAAGCCTGTGCTCAATTTTATCTTATTTTTAACTCGATATACTACTTCCTTCCTTCCAAACTCATACTAAAGACCTGAACGCTATTACAACCAAGACAACAACACATCAGCAACTGTTCAGACCACTACTCAGTCCTACATACAGATGATAAGAAAACACACTGACTGCTCAGATGGGTATCTGAAGACCTTCAGTATGCAAAATATCTGCCAACAGAACTCTAGGATAGAAATTATGCTGTCAGCCACTATGAAGAGAAAGCTGACTTTTCCATTCACTTCAGACAGAAATTTCCATGTTCTAAAAACCTGTTTCTTTCTTTTATTTCAGTATCAATATTCTTACAAAAATCAGTAGCAAAGTACTGCTTTAATCTTCAGACCACACCTAGGATGGCTAATCTCAATCCACCTTCTCATAATTTTACCACCATTTTTCCTAGAATTCCCCACTTCTGGCTGAAGATCCTTTTATTATTTATTTTTATATCTTCTGCAAATTTTAATTTGGTTTGACTTATGGAAATTTTAATTTATTCCCTAC